TAACGCATAGGCAAGTTGTGGGTTAGCCGTTAGGAGTATTCTAGCTTTATCCGGTTGTTCAATGATAAACGTCTGAAAAGAAAAAGGGGATTTTAGAAACGTTTTAACCTCAAAGGTATAAATAACTAAACCTTCATAGAGGATAAAATTTCCATCATTTGATTCGGACGGATGCTCGCGACCGTTTGAGAAATGGCATCCATACAACTCTGACCAGGTAAAAGGGGTGTCCCACGAGGAAGACTTGAAAGCCAATCTGCGGTACCTCCACCACTTCTGGATCCATGTCGAAAATCCCGATCTCTATCTGAATCTCGATGTCGCTCACGCCAACCACCTAAAAGAGAAGAAGAAAAAAGTCAATAATGGCAAATTATATGAATTGACCACCCTTACCGGAATTATCTACCAATTCTCCTCTTACAGTTGTCTTTCCTTCTAAGAATGGATCTGAATCTGCAAGATCAATACGAAGAGGCCGACCACCACAGTCGACATTATTCAAATTGCGAACGGCAGACAAAGCGGTTTCATGATCTGTATGAGATAAAAACGACCGCAATTGAGTAAAAAAATTAGGATTATTTTGCCACAAGTTTGACATAAAAGGCGGGGGGAGAGAGAGCGAGAAAGTTTAAGGTTTTGCTTAGAATAAATTCTTTGAAATAAAAAGACCCGGGGGAGAGAAAAAATACCTGCGAATTCACAGAATCCGTACCCTCGCGGCTTTCCTGTTTCTCTATCAAAGACAAGCCTACAATTATTTTATTAGTAATTATGTTTATAGAAGAAAATCGGGCCGAAACACGTAAAAAGGCGATCGGGAGCAGGACATCCATGGATTCAGAAGAGAGAAGAGAAGATATTTATTACGTACCTGAAACCAATGACTGTTCCGACCTTCTTAAATATCTCGATTAAAGTTTCCTCATTCATATTATACGGCACATTTCCCACTATAAAAAAAAAGTTTTGACTCGCAGCTCAGAGAGATGGATGGGTTCGACAAGAAAAGGTGAACAAATTAGTTACCAAAAACTACTTTGCTCATTTCCTTTTCACGCTACACACAAAACAATCGATCAAGAGTGCACGTTTCAGTGATAGAATGCAAATGGGGTAGTGGTGGATCGAGATAGCAGAAAGTTTAAGCGCTGAACGTTGAACACTAGACCCAAAAGCTTGGCGGAGAAGATTATGTGAGCGGCCTTGGGGGCCTTTGGCACTGAACAGACTATTAGTAGGTGAGAGAGAAACGAGAAACGAGTGCGGAGCTCATTTTTTTAACTGATCGTAGATCTTTATATTTAAAAGGGTTCTCGTTTTGATCAACTCCGTCTTTAGGATGAAACAATGAAAAAAAAAAAAACACGTTATTTATTTTTAAACTGGGCTTCAAAAAGAAAAAAGAAAAAACGCTAAGCGTTCATTGAGACAAGAAACATGCTGCAATCTCCCCCCCAAAAAAAAAATTTGTTTCTTCTTGTTCCTGATATTATGTCTTCGGCTAGACATTACTCCTTTTGTCTTCGGTGCTTTGGAGCCACAGTCGCGACTCGCAAGTTTCCCCCGTCGAAGGGTCACTTATACCCTCGTTGCCTCATTTTTCACCCGCTCGTGACAGTATTCTTAAGTTGTACTTATTCCGCCACGAAGAAAACAAACTACAATACTGTCCTGGAAGATATTGAGGTTTATGTCGTCAGTACATACTATCGGTCAGGATATATCTGTTTTTATATCTCAAAATAACACTGATCGGCTTTTGTTCAATGATCCCGGCCTTTATGGTCTTTAATTGTGCGTGCCAATCTATCTTTGCTTGTACAGTACCTGATGCGGTGCAGAGAAGTAGACAAAAGCAAAGAATGGTTCTTTTACTACATCAATACGAAACGCATAGCCATTATTTTTGATCAGAAAGATGACATTTAGGTTTCCCAACAGATCATTCAGCTATCTTCTCTTTCTAGTATTAATTTTTTTTCTTCTCAAGCATTTCCTGGACGATGCCCCACCGGTTTCTACCGTCGACGTCAGCAGTTATCCCAAGAGGGTTCGTAGACAAGAACGGTCGCGGCTTGAACTGCGAACTTGTGGTTCATCACGGAATCCCCAGTCTCCAAGAATTTAATATTCGTCGCACATGTCTTGAGATAAGGAAAACCGGATTTTATATCCAATCTTAAAGCAAGCTTTGATAAGTCTGGATAATTCTGAGCGAAAACAACGAGCGCCTCATACTAACCATGGCGTTTAACAGGTCGGAGCTTGATGACTTTCCAGGAGGATCGATTTGTTGCCAACGTAATTATATCTTCCAGTTCTATAGGCAGTATTCGACTTGCAAATCGGTGAGATGTGGACATTCAATTAGGGCCTTGATTGCTTGTCGAGGTAGAGAAACAACTCGGTCATTACCAAGTATTGTGATTTTCTGAAGATTAGGGCAGTCTCGATGTACCGAATCCATAAAGGCTATGATTTGAGTCGTATGGTCATAGCGAGGAGCACAGGTGAAGTCAACCAGTTTGAGGAATTGAATAACCTGTCCAATGACATCCGCTGTCAGGGAAGTTTCAGAGAATATTTCAGCACCTAGGTCGATTTTCCTAAGAGAAGGAAAAGGTAAACCTCCCTCCATTGCCTTGTCATCCTTCCTTTTCTGTCTCAGTAATACTTCCACATCCTTTATAGTATCATCGGAACAGAACATAAACTCCTCAAGTCTAGAAAGTTGTGATAGACTCGTGAACAACTTTGGAGTCGTGCAAGAAATAGGAATAACGACGACGACAATATTCCGCTCAATTTATGAGAGACGACCTCGAGGTGTTCATCCTCCACTGTGCCAATTCTCAGCTCCAATTTGAAAGCCCGTAAGGGAGGTGATCGGATGGGTATTTTAGAAAGAACGTCTATCGTATCCAAGTCCAGTCCTGACAAGGACATATGCAGGAGTTGTATCGTTGGTGTTAAGAGATGCGGTAAGTGACATTCGATATACTTTGAAGTCTCAATACCGGTCGGGAACGGCCCAGTCCATTCAAGGACAGTCAATTTCGAAGAAAAAAGGTCTGTCGAAGGCCGACAATTTGAAAGTATCGCCTGTTTAAGAGCTGCGAACACAACACGGTAACAGTGGAAATGTCGAACGTACTTTGAATACAATAAGAATCGATTCCATGATTCTGGAGATGGGGGATGCTCAGGCTGGAAGCTGCGAGCCTAATAATAGTTGACATCATTAGCGTCATTCACAAAACATTACGGAGTTTTTTGGAACCAATCATCAAAGGTGCAAGCACTTGTAAGGCATCATTACTCATAACCTTATCCCATAACATCGCTATTGACTAGATGAATCATATCTGACATACTCGTGTAGTAACAATTTTTGTATGTTTCGATAAGTACGAGAAATTTTTAGAATATCTTATGCATTGATGCAACAGAGACTGAGTGGGGGGATCCGGCAGGAAAGATCTGCAATCGTGATTTGAGTACTGGCCAATTAAAATCAATCGCATTAACAAGTGGCCCTGAACCATTCTCCCAACAGCTTCCCACAACTGTTCATGGGGATTTCCATTGCATACAACTTCAATCGGAATTTAGTGATAGAGTCTTGAAGATTTAGCAAAGTAAAACGATGAAAACTGGCCTGCTTTGGTGTTATAGTCCGTGTGTGGAGGATTTAGTTCAAGAACATGTAAGAAATGCGAATTGATGAGCGTCGATGTTGACATTAAAAGACTTCTCCAGGTTTCCCCTCAAACCCGCTTTGTTACTATTTCGACATGTAAGTGAGTTCTTTATGGTAGGCCTTCCAGACCCTCTTTTGTATAAATTACTATAGATCTTAAGAGAGCTATTTCTTCCCTCTGCAATATCCGATTTTCGAGTTGTGCAAATGGCAAATGTAATGGCGTTAACCATTTTCTCGACATCGTGCCACAAGTCTTCAGGCTCTGCGGCTTTAATTTTAAGAGGATATCGACAAATAGTAGATAAGAAAATTGCGATTGCCATTTCGTTGTCGCAAGTTTTGATCGCCGAACCACGAGGGTCTAGCAAAATCTGACGAAAACTTGATACTTTTCGTATATGTTTTGAAGTCAGGGAATCATAAACCAATATCCAACGTTAAGCCAAGAGTATGTAACTCGGGGGACAGTTATGAGCAAAGATTACAAGTACTTGATAGCTGAGAGGTTTCAACCAGGGTAGGCTGATGAACTTCCAGGAGGATCGATTGGTTGCTAATGTGATTATATTTTTTAGTTCCATATCGACCCTGCCGAACCGGACTCCCAAATCAACGAATTGTGGACATTTCAGCAGGATTTGAATCGCTTTCCAAGGTACATTGATACGAGATATCCTCATCTTTTGAAGATTTGTACAAACTCTATGCACCGATTCCATAAAAGCGATGACCCCGGGTCAGGAGTTTCACAGCTGCCAGGAGCACAAGTCAAATCAGTTAGCTTGGGGAACAGAGTCCCTTGAGCTAGGGATTTTGCCGTCATGAAAGCCGTTGGAATTCCCGGTCTATCAGTGATGAGGAGTTTTTTTGAGAGAATGGAACGGTAGACGTTCCCTCGAGTCTGATGCTTCTTCGTCATCTATTGCTTTCTGCTCCAATGATTCTCCTCCCCAATTCATATTCCAGAACGAATGCGGTAATGTAAGATCTTTCAGTCTGGGAAGTTTTGACGGGATTGTGAATAAATCCAAGTTGAAAAAATATGTAATTATCCGTTTCCGGGTGAGAACGAGCAAGGAAGGCGAGCGGCGAGCGATTGGGTAGCATTTTGCATAACACATCGATTATTTCCCCCCGATTTATAGGTCTTGACTTGATAAAAAAACAACCAAGCTGATGGTGTCATAGGGGTTGTCATCAGCGTTTGAAAGCGCAAGTTGTGTGGGTCCCAGGCACAATAAAATGTTTCCGAAAAGAGTTTGGAGACGTGGACCCAAGTTGAAAAAAAAACTGGCAACGGTGAGATTCGAACTCACGCCCCCGAAGAGACTAGTAAACGAGGTATTAAACCTGAGACTAGCGCCTTAGACCAACTCGGCCACGTTACCACCGAAGAACGAATAGCCTTTCTTGATGTCATGACTCGACTAATACCTACCCTCTTTTTCCAGGTCCTATTTCTGCTTCAAAGTTTTGTTTATCTATTTGGAGGGGTTGTCTTTTATCATTGAAGCTTTGCAACGAAAAAAAAAATTAGAAAGAAAGCTCCAAATCCGGAGACCCGTTTTGTCCGAGTCCGCATCGGCAACCCCATATAGTAGCGTGACCAATTAAAAGGATTCATCCTTCTACCACTACCTCAGAAAGTTTTTTGTTACCATTTTCTCTTTATTCGTCCTTCCAACCGTCAGAAAAAAAAATGTTATCTCGGGTTGCTTTACGTTCAACTTCTCGTCTTACTACTCGTGCGTTCTCAACAACACAAGCACGACACACAAAAGTCGCTGTGCTTGGTGCTGGAGGAGGAATCGGACAGCCGCTGTCTCTTCTCTTGAAATCCGACCCATTGGTTACCAGTTTGAGTTTGTATGATATTCGTGGTGCACCTGGTGTCGCTGCAGACGTCGGTCATGTTGATACCGGAAGTGAAGTGTGTAGTCTCTCCGAAGGCTCTCCTCTTTGCAGGCTAACTTTTAATGCATTCATTCAGGTTGTTGGATATGCCGCCGACGGACTCGACGCCGCTCTTGATGGTGTGGAGGTTGTCGTTATCCCAGCCGGTGTTCCGAGAAAGGTCAGTCTTATCCTGTTGGTATCCATCCATTTGTTCATCACAAAATCGTTCTAGCCTGGGGTAAGCTTTTTCTTTTTCTTTTTTGTTTGTCGGTACTATAAAGTTGTTTTATGCTAATGAATAGATGACACGTGATGACCTGTTCAAAGTACGTCGTTCTCTCATAAACGTTTTCCCGAGGTTTTCTCATAATATGCTAGACAAATGCCAGTATTGTTTGCGACCTTGCCAAAGCCGTAGCAAAGAATGCTCCTAAAGCACACATTCTTGTCATCTCAAACCCCGTTAACTCGACTGTTCCCATTGTCGCACGTACTCTCCAGCAGGCTGGTGTATACGACCCTGCTAAATTATTCGGTATCACTACTCTTGACGTTGTCCGTGCATCCCGTTTCCTTGCTGGTATCGCCAATACGGATCCTATCAAGACTTCCGTTACCGTTGTTGGTGGTCATTCAGGAGTTACAATCGTTCCGCTCATCTCTCAATCTCCCGCCGGCAATGCTGTCAAACTCGGTAGTGAAGAGTGGAAAGCCCTCGTTCATCGCATTCAGTATGGTGGTGATGAAGTTGTAAAAGCTAAAGATGGCGCTGGTAGTGCTACCCTCTCCATGGCATACGCTGCAGCCAAATTCGCCAACAAACTCTTGAGAGCTCTCAAAGGCGAGACCGGTGTTGTTACACCCACCTTTGTTGAAAGCCCATTGTTCAAGAAGGAAGGAATTGACTTCTTTGCAAGCAATGTTGAACTTGGTGTACGTCCCCTTTTCCATAGCATTTGACTAATCTATCGTTGGCTCAAACAAATGCAGCCTAACGGTGTAGCGAAAATACACGAGCTGGGTAAGCTTTCACCCGAGGAACAAGAGCTTGTGAACGCAGCTCTTCCGGAATTAAAGAAGAACATTGAAAAAGGATATGAATTTGTTGCGTCTAACTGAATATCCAGGGTCTGTCGTACCTAGCTTCTAGGTATCTTGGACGACATGATTTTTTTTGTCTGTTATATCTCTCATAGATTCTTTAGGATGCACTTTAATTCTTGTTTGGTATCCCATTATATCTAGAATGCTATGGTTGTTTATTGATTTTTTTCCCTGATACTTGTGTGCTGAAAGCCGTTTTGTACGTGATAAAGCGTCCCTAAAACGGAATCACTGCTTATCAATCCTTAGTTGGTTACACCTCAACCACATTGTCCATGACCCTTCCTTGAATTTACATAAGAGTGATATCTTAAAGATTCTATCTTTCTAAATATGTTATGGATTCTACTGCCAAATTCGAAGTTCACTATAACTTGGACACTTGCTCGCTCTAGTACGTTCATTACCCCACGTGGTCATTTTGCTACTTCTAATAATTGTCAAACCCCATTCAACAAAAGGGTTCAGAATGAACCTGTTACGTGCGCAATCCTGCGGTGCCTTGATTTTGATTTCATGTTCTAGCTTCTATCATTATGTAGCGAGCCCGAAGGGAATTAGGCATGGTATTAGGGACTTTTTGAAAACCCACAAGCTGGGGTCCTTGTTACGATAGTACTAATTATCAACAACATGTTGGTTTACAGGGCCTTTTTGCCAGCACGTCTTATAAGCCATTATGGCTTAACCATTGACATTCAACGCTCCCCTCCTTCATTTCATGTGTTTTCAGTTTCGTCTTCCACGAAATTCTTTGTTGAAGTCAGGTTATATGTCGACGAGTGGTAAGACTTATTAGCTAAGGATTAAGTCGGTGAGGAGCTTAAAGCTTAGGAGATCTCTAGTAGCGATAGGGAGGCGTACTGCAATATAACCTGACAAAGAACTACTATGTGCAGGTTAGATATTAGACAGTGGTCAGTGCACTGGCATGTGTATGCTATGGTGTGAACTACTATCTACTCCGATGTTAATTGGAGCTAAAGAAGAGAAGACGATACCAGACGAGACATGTGATGATTATAATGAATCACACGTATTCCAACATACTTCAGGTCGAAAAATCTCCTTTTGAATCGGTGAGCGGATAACCGACTCGGCTTTAGCTTCAAATGTTTACAAATTTCTTCTCCCCGCCCGATATACTTTATAGAAATACCAGCGGTTCCTACATATTGCACGTGGTTTAGTAAATAAATGTGCTGGCGAGAAGGTTGTGAAATTGCAGGGGCATTCTGTTTGGTTTTTATATAAAGGAACTAGGGAATATCTCGGTTTAACGCCAGAACGGTAGTGAACACCGTCCACTTTTCGTGAGTTTTAAGATGTTCTCTCGTCGGGGAGCTATTCTCTCTCTTCTTGGTTTCTGCCAAGCAACTCTTTTCCAGAATCTTCAACAATTGTCGATCGGGAAACAATATGACTTTATCATCATCGGTGGTGAGTTGTGTGACCTTCTTTATGTTTGACCGTCACCGGTGCTGAATATCAATATCATTTAGGGGGTACCGCTGGGGCTGTTGTTGCTAACCGACTCAGTGAGATTTCAAAATTCAATATACTCCTTTTGGAAGCCGGTCCATCGTGCGCTATCTTTTTATGAAAGAAATCTGTGGATTCATCTAAGCGTCACATCATTCCACCACCAATAGAAACCAGAATGTGTTAGACTCCGAAGTTCCATTCCTTTACCTTGATCTTTTCGGTTCGGCCTTTGATTGGAATTATACGTCTGCTTCCCAATCTGGCTTAAATGGAAGAACGGTTCCTTACCCTAGGGGTCATGTTCTGGGAGGCAGTAGTAGTATCAGTAAGTGGCCTCGATTTCCGTTTGTTGATTATATGTATATACCTAGGAATTAGATATTATGTTTTATACTCGTGGTTCTGAGGACGACTTCAATCGATGGGCGGATGTTACGGGTGATTCGGGATGGTCTTGGAATAGTATACTACCCTATTTTTTGAAGGTCAATTTTATTTCATCTATTCTATTACAATTGCATAAATTGAGGGTTCTCAGAATGAAAAATGGACTCCACCGGCGGATCATCATGACACTACTGGAGAATTTAATCCAGTATTTCATAGTACAACTGGACTCACAGAAACCAGTCTACCTGGATTTTCGTTATCGATAGATTCTCGCGTTTTGCAGACGACACAAGTATTTCCAAATGAATTCCCTTTCAACGAAGATTACAATGGTGGTAAACCGATAGGTTTAGGTTACTTGAATTGTTTTTAATTGCAAGGGTAGATTGAGATTTGGTTTCCTTCTTTTTAGGATGGGTTCAATCTACTATAGGAAATGGAACCCGAAGCAGTTCAGCGACCTCATATTTATCGACACCATTTATATCTCGTAGAAATTTGGATGTTGTTCTGAATGTTCGTGTTACACGAGTCTTACAGACTCAGTCGAACGGAACGTTGTCGATTCGAACTATTGAAGTGCTGAATGGTAAGTCAGTAATCGTCGTTCTCCGAGTTCATGGCTCTCAAGTCACATTCAGGATCGCAAAGGCAAAATTTTACTGCAACTAAAGAGGTTATTCTGTCAGCTGGGTCTATCGGAACACCGGGTATTTTGCTTCACTCTGGTATCGGCGATGAAACCGTTCTCAAACCGCTTGGTATCTCCCCAGTATTAAACCTTCCCAGTGTGGGAAGGAATCTCACTGACCAGCCTTTATCTACTATCGCATGGACTTCAAGTTCGACAGATCCTTTCGAGCCGTAAGTTATTGTCAATTAAGATCCACACTTATGTTAAGTTTGCTCGTTTAGACCAATTCTAGAAAATAATGCAACCCTGTTGTCTCAAAGTCTTCAGCAGTGGATGACGACTCGAACAGGACCTTTAGCCTCTCAAGCTCTCAATCATGTAGCTTGGAAGCGTCTTGATAATACCTCTATTCTGTCTCAATTCGGTGATCCATCTGCGGGACCTAATACTCCTCACCTCGAGTTCATATTCACTGTACGTTTAAAACATGTTAGACCACCACTTTAAATTGAGATTTATGTGCTGTGTTATGCAGAATGGTGGAGGGGCAGACTTCCCTTCTGGTCATTTCGTGGGTGGTGGGTTTATAGTTGTTACTCCTACTTCTCGTGAGTAAGGTCGGAATCTCAAAGTCCAGAGTTGTCTAATTCCCTTCTATCATAGGCGGATCTGTCACCATCTCTTCCAATAACCCTCTTGATGCACCTACTATCGATCCAGCTTTCCTAAGTACCGAATTTGACATTCTGGCATTCAGGGAAGCACTTCTCACTACTGTAGCCTTTTTCTCAACTCAACCCTGGAAAGATTTCATCTTGAGTCCTGTTCAGCCATTCCCCAATATTTCCGACATCAATTCAATAGATTCTCTCCTTAAAG